CTATAATTGTATTATTAAATTAGAAATTATACAAATAACACGGATAATTTTTTTATAAAAAGATCTTACAGTAGTACTTGGAGATGAAAATGTACTTCCAAATGGGTCTGGTGTTGATGCATTATTAAATGGTTCTGCAAAAGGATCTTGTTCAAACCCGTCCAATGTTGTTCCATTTGCATTAGTAAATGAAACGTTTTTCTTGTTCTTATCTTCTTCAGTTGTTTTTTCATATCTATTGTGAATTTTACATAGGAATAATGAATTATAGAAATAATTAGGAATGTGTATTAAATACATACTCTAAATTTTCAATTTCAGGATTAAATTGCAGACTAGTATCAGGTACAAGAGTGGCATCCCCAGCTGCAAGTGCAGAGTCATAAAGCGCAATTGCATCACTCATTTGCCGTTGTTGTTCTTGTAAATGAGTGATCTTTGCTTTCGCTTGACAAATTTGCAATTGAGTGTCCTGTAAATTTTTCGTAAGTTCATTTAATTGGTCCCTGCTTTTATTTTGTTGCTGTTCCAGTTGCTGTTCTTCTTGTTTCAAGCCTTCTAATTCTTGTCGTTTAAAATTCAATTCTTCTTCTTGAGCACGCAATACTGATTCCTGCTCTTCTGCTTGTTGACGCAATTTATCTACCTGTTGTTACATTATACAAAACAATTAATTTATTATAAACTAAATTTGAAAGCATATTTCTATAATGTGTTAATTATGTTTATACAGAGACACAGACATATATATAACTTAGGCATATATATAATATAGATTATATATGTATACTTAAATATGTAACTTAATAAAATTTATTATCGTAATTAATCACATATTGTTAATAACATATAATATTATATTTACATTATAAATTTATTATTTGCAAATACTGATGTATATTTTTAAGTATAATTTTGTATATTATTTTATTTGTGAGAAAATATTATATAAAGCAATTATACAAATTTAAGACTCAAATCTAAATTAAATAATTGTATTTTTATCAATTCCAAGTAAAATGAAATTTAATACATAGATTTATATAAAATATAAAATTAAAACATAATTTCGTAATTTTTACTAGACTGGAGTCTCAAACACAAATTATAAGCAAGTATAATCCTTTTGGTTGCAATCTATGCTACTAGTTTACCATGCAATGCAGCAAAGCACTAGCATTAACTATGCAGGTGTAACAAAAACAAATAAAGTCTTTTCCATAACATAATATATATTACATAATTAGTTTATATATTTATATTTTTTACATATTGTTATACAGATTCAAATAAAGTTCCATATAATTATTTTTTGCATATAATTAATATGTAAAATGAAGTTATAAAACATTTATCTTAAATTTTCATGATTTTATTATTACCATCGTAAAAAATTGTGATGTAATAGTATCATATTCAATGAAATTAGAGATGCTAACGAATTGTAATTACTATCTTGTAGAAGTGAGAAATAAAATCTTTATACCGCAATTGTACCTGCCCTTATTAAAAGTAAAAATTTTTGATGTACCTTTTTTTGTTCTTCACGTATCTTCTGCTCGATCTCACTCAAATCTTTATCTACTTCTGTCTTCTACAAGCCAAACATAATAAAACTAAATCATAATGAAGGAACTAAACATATTATAAAATAAAATAGCAAATAAGTTGATATATATTTTTTTATATGAAATATAAATTATATTTAAATAAAAAGAAATAACTTAAAAAATTATAAATAAATAAATTAATATGTATGAAGAAATAATTATATAATATTAAATATAATAACTTGAAATATTGCTTATAACTTCTATCATAAAAAATAAAAATCACTAAGATAATATATTAAATACATTTCACTTATTATATTACATTTCACTATACCTCTTTCGTTAACTATTTTAAGATGTATGATAATGTAATAATATGCATTATATTACTAAACCTTAATTTATATCAAATAATAATTTCTATATCACAAAAATTATAGTACACTTAATTATTTACACATCTTAATAAAAGCATTATATACAATACAATATACAATTCACAAATCCATGTTTCTAATATCATATGAAAGCAAAGCTGTACATTCAACAAGCAGATCATCTAAACATATTAAACTAAAATTTTATTTACCTGAGCTTTTAAATCATTCAATCGCTTTTGTGCTTCACCTTTCTGATTTTCTAATTGCTTTAATGTAGCAGCAAGTGTATCCAATTCACTCTGCAAACTTTTAATTTCACCATTTTTTATCTTGATATCAGCTTCCTTTTGTGCTATATCTTGTTCCATACTTTGCCTTTCTTTTACAAGTTCTGCTATATCTTTACTTATCATGTCCAATTCTGGGTTTGAATAACCAGAAACATTATTGTTCTCCTAAAAATTAAAATTGAAAATACTTATTGAAAATAAAATGAAAAATACAAATGAATTCTATGAAAAATGATAATTTATACATGCAATGACAAATATTTTATAAATGATAGGAATACAAAAATTAAATCGAAATTTAAATATCATCTATAATTCGAAAATATAATATTTACATTTGTATAATTTCAAATGTCTAAAAACTAACATTTAAACATTTTAATAATTTAAACACAAAATAATTTCAAACAATTCTAAAATATCTTTTATTGATATAATCCTTTACAATAATTGAAATGCTACATCGTTTATAGAAAACTACTGAATAATTTAAATTCAATACAATTATTATAGAAAGTTAACTTTTTCTTGCTATTATTCATTAAAGAAATCATTTTCTGAAATTTTCCAATGCATTATACATCCAATACTAAATTAGTTTATAGGTATAAAAGTACTATCATTTAGTGTGTTCATTATGAATTCTTCTATATATTTGCAACGAGTTTTAAGTTTGATTTTTTCAGGATCATCAGTATCATATAAAGATCGTAATTTTGCTTTTCTTGCTTCCGTTCGTAGTTGTTTAGCAAATATAACATTTTTTACTTTTTGTCTTTCGAAGGCAACTATTGGTGATATGTTATTTATTATAAGAGGTACAACTTTTATACAATCTGCCATATCTGAATGATTTTTCTTTTTACATAATGAACATATTTCCAATGCATTTAAATTATATTTACCTCCTTTTGACATATTTCTTGATTTTAATGTAAAAAAATGAATTTCAAATAAATAAAAAATTGAAAATCATATGTCAAGTTCCATAAAGAATATAAATTAAACAGACATGCAGTTAAAATTACTGTTGAATGTTTATTATTTACTAAGTATAATGTCTAATTTTATAATAGGAATAAATTTATGGAAAAAATACGATGAACTTCGTAAAAAAATAAATAAAAAATTGAATAAACAAAAAGGTAATAATTTTTGTCATCTTTTAGCAAAAATGTAATAGTCTTTTATTTTATATAAAGAGAGTGAACTTCTCCTTGATGTTAATGACTATGAATATCCAAGAGCAAATGAAACACTTAGAAAGATACATAAAGAATTGTGGCAGGAATATTATGAATGTTTAGAAAAGACATATAACAAAATTGGATCAGAAAAGATAATGTATCCAATAGCGTTTGAAGCTCTAAAAGGAACATTAATCAAGTGTGATAAAAACATTTTTGTTACTCATAACATTTTTATTACTTATTTTTTAATAAAATGATTATATTAATTTTAGATTAAAATGTCAAATATGTATCTCTCCAATAGAAATATATACTAGTGAAGATATAAATTGGTATTTCAATAATACTTTTAGTAATGAAACAAGTAAACTTATAGATGAATCAGATAATGTATTCATTTCTTCAGAAGACAGATCATTAATAATACATGACATTAAGGTATAATTTAATAAGTAAACCTCTTTTATCATAATAAATGTAATCATAATAATGTAGAAGTTTTTGCAGTCTAAACAAGCTGGACAATACTGGTGTCAATATGGAGATACATTATCAATATATTATTATATATCTATTGATACCGATGTTAAAGGAGTAAAAACTGTATATCCTGCCACAGCACCCAATATGCCCCATCCAATACCACCAAAAGTTGTATCAGAATATAATTTAAATATTTATACAACGTGGACTAAATGGTCTCTCTGTTCTAAATGTAATGCAGTTGGTAAAAAAATTCGGTACGGATACTGTACTCTTTCTTCACATCCAAATGTCAAGAAAAATAAAATAAGTGAAAAACAATTTCAAGATTATAAACGACAAAGTATACTTTCTTTCTGTACTATGCATCACTTGCTTTAAGATTTTAAAATATCACGTATAATATGATGTATAACATTTAGCTACAGAAAACGAACAAAATAAAATAATGGAAACTACAATTCAAAATCAAATTATAGATAAAAGTGTGACCGATAAAATTAAAATGATTTTACGTGTATTTAGAAATAAAATACCTTGTAAAAGTAAATATTTGCCAAAAGCTTTAAATATTTCAGATATTAAAGATAGAAAAACAGAAATTATGGTGCGCTATTGCAAGGTATTATTAAATATTATGCAATGAAAATATCTCGCGTAATATTTAATATCCGATACATACAACTAAATTAAACAAATCCCATGTAGATAAAGTGTCCACAAAATGTAATCTTCGAAGTACGAGATAAGAAGGGAAACGTGATTGAAAGTGCAAATAACAGTGCTGGTATATATTCTATGGTTCAAGGAATGCCCACTCTATCGCCACCAGTTATACGTACGACGATTTATCAAAAATATGATAAAAAAACAGTTCTTATATGCCCAGGGTAAAACAACATGTTAAAAATTAAAGAATTGTTCACTTTTTTTTTCAAATTTTTCAGAAGTTTAAATATCAATATACCAATTACTTGGAAAGTGGATGACAAAATTTTAAATCCATCTATTGTTCAAGATCAATCTGAAGGAAGAATTTATTTTAATTCACAAATGCATATAATTTTCAAATCATTAAAATTTCAAGATACGAATATCTATAGGTAAATAATAATTGCTTCAAATTAAATTAAATAATATTTACAATTACAATTCACAATCACCTTGTTTATAGTTGTTGGCAAAGAAATGAAATCGTTGGTGTAATAAAATTAAATGTAACTGGAGAAATAGAATTACAAACGAATTATAGTATAGTTATGGTTGGTGGAATGTTAATAATTATTGTATTTATGATTGTGTTTTGGAGAGCATTTCAAGGTCGTAAACGTTATACAATACATTAACTGCATTGTGCACTGTCATGTTTAAAACAAAGCAATAATGTCTCAAAAGGAGCATAAGTGACCAAGGAAAAAAAATTATTTGAATATTTACCACAACAGACTCAGATGGTTTTCGCATAGAAGGTGGTATCATATCAGAACTCAAAGTTGCAGGTGGTTCAACACCTCTCAATTTTTGTTTAATAAGCCACATGGCTAAAGCAAATTGTTCTTTATTTAATTTCCCACTTTGACATGTGTCACAAAGACTCCTGAAAAATAAATAAGCACAAATAAATAAAAATTTTCTCTTTTAATTAAAATTAACAAACAATATAATCATGATACATATGTACCATATATGAGCTAATACAGTCTGTGGAAGTCCACTTTGAAGGAAGACATCTTTGATTTCAATACCTGAGACATACCCATCCATATCTAGATCAGCTTGCAAAAATAATTTGTCTGCTGCTACTTGATCTTCAGATGAAACTACCCACTGAACATTCGTTTATATTATATATTTTTATATCAAAGTTAGAATTTTATAATTTTAATTTTACAATTAAGATACCTTTATCGTATCCAAACCAGCCATACTCTTTACTGAAGGTACATTAGGTAAAGGTGGAATAGGTGGTGGTACTGTTGTAATTACACTCATTGGTGCAGGAGATTTTGGTACTGGTGTTATAGAATCTTTCCTTTTTCCTGGTGGCATTAACTCTGGTGGAAGTACACTTGGTATAGCATATTTCTCTAAAGCTTTATATACTAAATGCACAGCCTGTGTTAAATAAGTAATATATCAAATTACATTATAGAAATAAAAAGCTTAATTTATTATGAGTATTTTAAATGCCATATAGATAGTTTTACTTACAACAACAAATTCATGTCTATCCAGCATACCATCTTTATCCATATCTGCAAGATCCCAAATCTTTCCAAGTGTATCCAAAGGAAGTTTACTATCCATAAGAACATCTTTTACTTTATTCCCAGGTATATATCCATTCGAAGGTTGCAAACTATCAAAAAGTTGGTCATATTTGGCTCTTTCTGAAGGTTTAATAGACCAGTCTCCATTACTAACAGATGTTATTACTGGTACAGTATTTACTATATTTTTCTGTGGTATTACAGGAATATCACCCTAAGAATAAATAACAGTTGTAAGTAAAATAATTTATTTTATGTATCAAATAATATAACAGTTTACCATTTTTGGAGGTGGCAATTCTATATTTAAATTTGACATACTAAGGTCTCTTCCTGCTTGGGCCAATGCACAAAGTTTCAGAGCAACAAAAAGACCAGACTTGTCTAATGATCCACGAGATTGTGGATCTGCCATATCCCATATCTTACTTAATACAACATCACTCAGCTGGGATTTCTTAAGGAATCTCGCAGCTTCCATCGCACCAATTCGTCCATATCCATTTGGGTCCACCTTTAAATATAATTAATCTTGTTATTCTTGCAATGATATAATCAAGTGTAAATTTATAAACATATAAAAAATTATTATATGAAAGTACATAGAACTATACCTGATTATAATAAGCTTCATATATAGCAGTATGGCTTCCAGCCACCTGGATGAAAACAAATTTATTATATATATTCTTATAAATCGTTAATTTTGACACTATGCATAAATAATTAAATAACATAAATTTTAATCGCCAGAAACGTATAAAATTCTAACATGAATAAATATGTGAATAAAAGTTTCACATTACTATCTTTTATAATGTATTAATTGTGACAATTTTATTAAGAAGTTCATCAAGAAATGTATGAAAAAGATGATGTATGAAAAAAATAATTTATTATAGATTTATCGGCAGATTATTTGTACTGTCAAAGAAGTTCAAGTAATCGACGATACAAGAACGATTGTATTCAGAATACGTGTGGCAAAATATGATACTGTTCTGCACGAAAGAAAAAGTAATTTTATAAAAAATCTAGTCAACAATAAATCTAGTATATCGAATATTATAGTCTGATAAAGTTATAAAAATTATAATATACCTGCGTGGGTGATGGCAGGGCGGCCATACTTGCATTGAACACTGGCTTAACCAATCAGACTATGAATCGATAGTATGTCATATTAACTGTTTTACTTAACATTTTGTGGAAGAATTTTTATTGTCAGATACGCACTAACAAAACACAGAACGATGATTATACTTTTTCTGTCAAATTAGTCAGACAAACAAAACAAAGTAAATGAAATTTATCAACAATACGAATCACTTCTACCGCTTGTAGCGCTCGATTACCGTCTTATATTCTTACATTTCACCTTGTTTTCATCAACCGATAATCATGCAAACTAGACTGCATGTGCACATGTAAACTTACGATTTGAATCGAGTATGTGCATTCTAGATTTTTAGAAGTTTTGGATAAGCGTACAAAAATGTTTTCATTAATATCTTAATCTTATAATTATAATTTATATTATCATTGATTGTACTAAAATTAATGAAAATATTAAATTTGAAATAAAAAGACAATTTTATTAAATTCGAATTTATTTCTTAAAAAAAACGTACATGTAATCTAAACGTAATTAGGGTATAGTCGAGAGTCTTGGAAAAGGATTTTGTTTAGAGATGACTAATTTTTTATGTTGATGAGATATGTAACCTTTAATTTTTCCTTCATATATTAAATTTGCAACGATACATTCTACTTCGTCCATATCTACATCGTCAATTCCTTGCATTTCTAAAGCTGAAAGTAAATCTTGAATAGGAATTTGATGTATATTTAATACTAAATACACTTTCTTAAATAAATTTCTATATGCTATTATCTTTAATTTTTCCACAATCAAATATATTCCTGCTCCTATAAAAAATGATTCATGTTTTTCCATCACTTTTTCAAGATTGCATAAATTTCCCCTTTTAACAGCTTCCATTAATTCTCCAAATTCCATTAAATTATATTTTTCTAATAAGCTGTGTTTAGGCATATATCCTAATAACATTTTTACTGGTACCAAGTAAGTTAGAATTAATCGTTTATTTTTTGAAGATCGTTTATGACAATGTTCAAAGGCATAAGTAAGATGTTCATCAGCTACAAAATAAGAAAGATGATTATTTTGAGAATGATTAAAATGTCAAATTTAAGTATATAAATATTAAATTTTAATAGTTACCAGCTTTGTAATCACTGTCAAACATTGCTTTACGACCCACAAAGAACTTATAAGTTATTTTCTGTGCCAATGTAAAAAGTGCTTTATATGGGGATGATTCTATCGCCCTTATTAAAGGTCTGCACAGATGTAATTTATTTATTCTAAAATAAATTTTTAACAATTGATTAACCAATGTCAACATTCCCCATCTTTTTGTATCATCTTCTGAGCTACGATTGTCACAAGCACACACTCGGAAACACCCCATTAAACAATCTGCACATTTTTCTAAAATTTCACCAGGCTTTATATTCTTGTTGTTTCTTGTATTTTCAACACAAACTGCTAATAGTCGTAACTCCAAACACATTGTATTCATAACAGGTAACATCCAATTTTCTTCCTTTTGCATTTGAAGAATTTTTGTCAGAGATTGAACTGCAGAACTTTGATAATTATACATAGACAATGGATCATCTTTGTTCATTGCTGCTATAGCTCTAAAAATACAAATATTAAATGATATTTAGAATAATAATAGTGGCAATATAACAATGTTTATTATAATTACTTCAAATGGTAAAGTACTAAGTCATCAATAGGGGCAGATAAATGTTCCATTGCTTTTGTTATTGCAGTTTCAGATCCAATTTGTGAAATTGAGACATGGTCATGTCGTAAAGACAATAAATTCTTAAATAAAAAGATTACATAAAGTTCATATGTAAAATTTATATGTATATAAATCTATACTTTTATATAAGCATATATTATTTACCGCCAAGGGTCTACCCTCCTGACTCAACCACACACGTCTTATCTGTAAACATACATATAACCTCAAAATAAATGTTTCCTTTAATTAATGCAAATTATATTATTACCTGCATTATATACGAATCCATTGTATGCATGATTTTATATATGAAATTCTGAAAATCTCTTTATTTTTAAAACTGGTTACATTTCATAACATCACAAATCACAAATTATGTAGCTTAAATAGTTAAATTTGTAGATGTCTCTGTTATTTAATATCATTCAATAAAATGAAAAAGAAAACATTTCATAAATGGAAAAAAAACCTATTAAATATATATATATGTGGAAGTAATTATTTTATTTAGAGTAAATAAGTTTTTGCAATATATCAACACATATATATGTGCATAATATGTTATGCAAGATTCACTGAACTCGACTAGTTGAATCAGTCGGGGTAAACAAAATAGTCACATGATATATATATATATACAGTACTTCATGTATCAGCTTGTAGTCGTTAGTAAATTATGATTTTCAGGGATATTTATATCACTATAGAAAATATTCTAACTATGAGACTAAATATGATACACTAGATGGTAACAAAAATATTTGGTTAATCTTCAGTGAATATATCTGATTTTATTACTTCTATTTTGTAATATATCAAGATCTTAAATTTCAATTACGTGATTTTATTTATTTTTTCTAGATCGATTGGAGTACATTCCTAGATTCTAGAGGAAAACATATTTCAATATTAATAAAGTCTTATCATGCCACTTGTTCCACATGCAATTAATTAGATTAATAAGAGAATATAGATGAGTTTTAATTATATATGTAACTATATGAATTTGCATTATTAGGTTTCATACTAAATCAAAGTACAATTTCTTTTACGTCTAACATGTTAAACACTTAGATAAAACAAACAAAAATTATTACATATTCAATAACACAATTGATAATAAATTTACATTTGTTGTAGAAATCTAGAGAATTTGTGATTTATTGGTTAACAAACCTGAGCATTCTAGTATAAAATTGGCTAGCCGTAGGGAACCCGATAAAGCATAGAGGCGGTGGTGCCAAGTTAGAGAGGGGGGTCCGCGGTCACGTGACCGAGCTGCGTTTTGAGCGCACTAACCAGGTACGAGTAAATTCGTTGTTTTTTTCGTGGTTTTTCGCGCGCCACGGCCGAAAAAGCCGAGGCGTCGTGAATTTCGCTTGTTTCTGACTCCAGACGTGTCCCCCGAATACGCAAACAACGCTTATAATAACTGTGAGTTACTTGCAAATACTTTGACTCGATCGTCTTACGGAGATCTATCGATGCTCCACCGCGGCGATGGTTGACAAGCCTTCCTCGCAAAACCAGAAATGGCGTCTACCGTGCACATGGTCTGCGGGAAATATCCCACATCAACGTAGTAATACCGATTCAGAAGTATAACAAATCCTACACGGCTGATTTCTTTGTCGTCCGTTTGAAGAATTTTTACAACTCACTTACGAACAACAACGCAACGTACAAGGTGTTTTTTGTGATGCGCCCGATAATCCTTCTTCGTCATATTCTCACCGCGCACGTCAAAATTTATCTTATTTTTTTTTTATTTTTTTCCTCTCCTATTGCTTCATCGTCTTTTGAAATCTTTTATATTACAGAAAAATGTTCGCGAATCTCTCCGGTGTTCTCGGGTGAATTTAATCGTTTGTATCAAACGGCATGATCCTTGGAAATCTTGCAAAATTTGTGGACAAGGTTTAGATCATTCTGCATATCGCCCTGATGCTTAGTTATTCGTTCTTCTTCTAAACAATCATTTTAGGAAAAACATGACTATTTTAAGAGACACTTGTTAAGTCGCTTGATTTTGTATTTATCGTCGTTAGTCGACCCTAACCTTTCTATCGTTGCTTAAGAGGTAGAAATGAAATTGTATTTCGCAGACGTTTATTTAATCGATTGTGTACTATTAATTCTTCATATACGTTTTCATAATTGTGATTTGATATTGTGCAAGACATTTTATAATCATGAAAATGTTTTTTAAATGTGGATTGTTTTTTTTATTCAGGTTATTTTTAAAATGCATATTTGTGGTATAATTGTTAATATCATGGATAACGAAAAAATCTTAAAAATCATAGAAATCTATAAGAATATAAGTAATTTTTACAAAATCTATAATTTTACTGAATATTAATACGTGTGATGATCATGGTTATACAATCTATGATATCTGAAAATAATACGCATGCAAGTACATAATTTACAATTGTATCTTTTTATAAGTATTTGTGAATTTATATACTTATATTGTGTTTATATATTTAATCACATATCTTGATATAAAATTAACATTTTATTATATTGTTCCAAATATTGTATTAATTAATTCCTATGCAGAAAAAATTATATTGATCTTTGAATTATATTATTCATTTGAAAATTGATTTTGTTCGATCAGTTTTTAATTTCTTAATTAATTTTATTATGTAATTTTTTTCATGTATTCTTCATGTTTATATAAGATTTTGTTACTTCTAGAAAATTAACTATTTTAGAAATATGTATGTTATTTAGAGAATAATAATAATAGGTATTTGCAGATATCACTATTAATTTACAATTGATGTTAAATAGTTTTAATGTAAAATTTAAAAAAGAATTATATATATTTGTTATTTTTCAATATGTTACACATTGCAATAAAATACTACATTTTTCATTTATTATATTTAGTTAATAAAATATGTTTAAAATAATAAATGTATTTATAATTTATATAATAATTATTTTCAACATGTCATATTAGATATACACAATTAATTGTTTCTTTTGTTACAGACTGTAAATAGAGAGTGTATATAGTGTGATAGGTGAGTGATATAAGTGTGTGGATTTTAGTTGGCAATGAGTTCAAGCAACAAATCGGTGTCCTCTGGGGGAAGAGGCACCAATAAAAATAAATCATCACAACAACATGGAAAATCGGATCATCATCAAACTAAATCATCGGATTCAATTAAGCATGAAAAATCACAGGTCAATATATATATATATATATACTTCATTATTTTATTATTATTATTATAGGAAAGTATTTGCTAAAATATGCATTTTTTATTTTGTACTAATACTTTATTAAAAACTATGACATTGTAGCCAAATACTGTTCAGATGCGGCATGCACAAATCATTGACACTAGAATGGGTAGCGGTGAAGATCCTGTTTTGAAGGAACGCATTAAGCAAGTTATGGATATGACTAGACGGTCAGAAGATGAAGTTGTTATGGCTTTACATGATAGTGATGGAGACTTGGATCGTGCTGTTAATGATCTTTTGGAAGGAGTAAAAACAGAATGGGAAGTGAAAAAAAAGAAGCCTCGTCAACCTAGTGGTTCAAAACAAAATATGGATACATCTGGTGGTCAAGATGAAGGTGGTGATTGGGATGAAAGACGCAATCAACGAGGAGGTGGCCCTCCACGTATGCGAGGTCGTGCTAATCACGATAATCGTGGATGTATGTTAAGAAAAATATTACATATTTTATTACGTATTCATATACATTATTGATGTCATACATATAATCTTCAATTTAGGGCGCGGTCGAGAAAACAAAGAAAATGAAAGAAATATGGAGGATGGTGTTCGTGACGGAAGTTACAGTGGTAACAGAAGAGGAAGAGGTGGTCCAGGAAGACCAGGTCGAGGAGGAAGAGGTGGAGGAAGAGGACTTGGTTCACGAACATTTGCCAATCGTAATGATCCATCTTCTACTTCATCTGCTCATAGCTTTAATCGATCAATTGATACTTGGACAGGAAATGAAGAACAACAAACTTCTCAGGAACCAAAGATGGGTAAGTTTTTTCATATAATTTAATTACTTAAATTTTATTTAAACTTATTATTTCACATGATGAAAATGTGTGGATAGATGCATGGAATAATTTGGATTCTGCAGAAGACTGGGATAATGAGGAGTATACAGGTTCATTGGCAGATACGAAAGTTTTTACCCCGAGCACTTCAGTGGCAGAACCTACATCAGCTATAGAAGAATCAAAAACTCAAGATCTGCAACCAGTGCAATCTAACCAGAGTGTAAATTTATCATTACTGCAACAGGAAGTATGCATTGTTTTTTTCTTTTTGCTATTTTTTCTTTCTACTACATATAACAAGAAATATTCTTTTGTATACGTATAAGGAATTACCAAAATTATCGGAGATACCACCGATACAACAGCAAACTTTAATTCAACAAACTCAGCAACAACAACCTGTGTTGAACTTACCTACAATGCAGTTATCGCAACAACCAAATGCTATAAGCGGTGGAGTATTAACAGCTGCTCAAACACAATATTTAACACAACTTACCCAACAAACAAGTGAAAATTTGAAAGCTGCTGGACAAAATACATTCTCTACATCGATATCCAGTCAGGTAGCTAAATAACATATATACAAACTGTTTTACGATATAGTATGCAAATTAGAATATAGTTGTATTTCTTGTTAAATATTCCTTCAATATATCAGCCTCAGAGGCAGACGAAACAACGTCCAAGGGTGCCACCACCATCAAAAATACCATCTACTGCTGTAGAAATGCCTGGAGATGCTGTTAATAGTGGTATTGGATTTCTTGATGTCCAATTTGGTGCACTTGAATTCGGTAGCGATTCAAGTTCTCTTGATGGATCTGCAAATGAAAAATACAACTCAGCTAATAATACAATAACTGGTGTAGATGTGTCTTCTACTACAAATACTGTAAACACTGCCAATACAAATAGCTCTTTGGACATCGAAACAACGCAACCATCATCAACAACACCTTTCAGTACTACTTCTCAAATGGTTATTTTATTATATTTAAATATTAGTAAAAGTACTTATTACTTTAATCTTTACAAATTATTGAATAATTCTATTATTTATTTACAGTTATCAAATAGCGACAATTTACCGGTATCAAGTGAACATTCGATAAACGCTCAAACATTTACTGCTCGTGGTAGTAGTACTGGACAAACTTTAGATATAACTAAACAAGATTTCACTTCGCAAGTATCTCCAGGAAATGCACCTCCTTATGGTACGACAACAACATACCAGTCTCAAAAGTCATCATTTCAAGCACCTACAGCGACTCCGAGCACTTACAATGCATATTCTACAAATGCTCAATCTGCTCAATCATCTTTTCAAACTGCATCCGGCACAAGTGCTAATAGTTACTCTGCAACAGCGACTGTTTCACAAGCAAGTTATAATTCTTCATCATCATTTCCTCAATCTAATACATCAACCTTTAGCCAAGCTTCTCCTTCTGCATCTGCATCAGCAACTTCGGGTTATAATCAAACAACAACTACAAATCAGGTAACTACCGTGTTATATAATATTACAATGATTTATATTACATGAAATACTTTTGTTAATAGGTGTACCAATCTGCAAGTGGATATGTACCTACCACGACGTCTCAATATCAAGCACAGTCTGTAGCTACGAACACCGTTTCAAATAATAGTACAGGCTATCAAACAAGTGGATATCAAGGATCGTCTTCGTCGTTTCAATCGACTCCACAAGCTTACCAACCATCTGTCACTACATTTACTTCACCTATTACTCAAACATCTGGAGCATACCAAAGTGCAGCACAATCTGTAAATATTTCATTTATTTCAGTTTGAATTTTATTTAAACGCAAAAAATTTATAAATTATATTTGTAGGTATATGCAAGTGCATATGGCACATATGCCAGTCAACAACAAACAGCGTCTCACAATCACAAACTAAACAGTAATACAACAAAAGATTCTCAGTATGATAGTAACACGACGACTTCAAATAATTCTCTTGCAACTACAACGGCGCCTACGCTAGGTCTTAGTTCTGCTTCCGTAAATAGTTCACAAACTAAAGTAACAAATTCTAATGGTAAGTGGAATATAAATTTTAAGAATTGAAATTATTTACACGATCGAATAAAAATGATCAATCGTAATGTGATTTTTAAAGCGGTACCAAAAAGTACATCGAGTGGTGTAGTAACGGGTAGTAGTGGAACTGGAAATATGACAGGTGGTGGTGCAGCTGGCAGCATGACACCAATGCTAAGTCATCAGTATATTATGGGCCAAGGGGTACCTTATGCGTTCCAACAACCAATGTACAGTTATGAGGAATTACAGCTTATGCAACAAAGAATACCGCATATGGTCAGTTACTATTCAATTGCTCATTTTATTTATCTCAAGGCTTAAGTACAAGTTACTCGTATGTTAATTGTAAAAGTAATTTGTACTTGATTTTATTAAAATGCTTCGTTAGAGTAATGTACACTTTAAAGAAAAATATATCATTTTGTTTTATATGATGTAACAGATATGAGTATTTCTTGTAATGTTAATATTAGTATTTATACTTGAAAAAATTTATATTTCAAGTGTACTACTCTGGAGCGTGCTATTCTATTTTGTCATGATTATCTAGTAAGAAGAATGCTGAAGTAATTATTTTTTAATGCTTGGTAGCTGCTCGTTATTTCTATATTTTTTCTGTTTAAAGAATTATGAATTTCTTAGTCACGTTTTTAAGATGGCACAAGAAATTTGTTGTATTTTTTTTATAGTGAGATGTTTCGCATCAGATGAATTATTGAAAACATTTTATTTTCTGAAACACTATTTAGTAGAAAAGTGTCTGTGATCAATCTGGAAGAATATCGTGAAAGATTAGTTTACTAAAATCTAAATTTCTATTGATAATATAAAATACCGTTTTGATCACAGATTAATTGTAGTTTTTATATATATTTTCTTCCATTATTGGTTTCATTTGCTCTATATTTAATGTTACGTATTTTAAATTGTACAAGAATATATAATATAATTTTCAAGTGGTTGAGTTGTACTCTATTTTATAGACTTCATTAAAAAAAAATAGATTGCACCAATATGTTTGTTAATATTAAAGATAAAAATTTGCAACAAAATAGTAATATTTTAAAACATAAAAAGATGGATTTTAAATTGCAGCATCGAAAGAAATTTTAACTTAAAACATACGATAAAAATCTAGTTAAAATTTAAGATAGGTACAACGAAAACCGCATGTTATTTGCCCCAAACCTAGTTCGCGTAGACTTAGATATTAGTTAGCCTTCTTGTATTTGGAGTACACAGTGTATGCATGTAGTTTTGTGTTTGGCCTTCCTGACTAACCTGCAGCCAACTACTGGTTACTATGACGCGGCTTTGGGGTATCAGACAACTGGCCCTGCTACCAGTCTCGGTGGGGGACGAGGAGATGCACTTTCCGGTGTACAAGGCGTTCAAGGAGTACAAGGTGTCCAAGGAGCCTATACCAGTATTAGTGACGCCAGGTTCACCAGAAACGACAGCAATGCATCTCCAGTTCCATCTACTATGTCACAACAGGTGAGGTTTATAAGCATTTAGTAGACATGACAACCAGCTTAACAGTGTTGTTGCAATACTTAAACATTATTTTGACTAAGTTATAGATTTGTGCTACGTTCCATTTTTTTTTTTTTTT